AGATGGGATACCCCCTCTAACATTTGCCATGTATGAGGGGTCCAGGAAAATGTCAAAGGTGAAAAGATAAAATGAGACGGGTAAACAGAAGGAGAAAAAAGGAGTATGGTACTTTTCGAGCAGGTGAACCTTGGAATGACGTGTTATGTCCAAGAGTAGATGGAAGAGTGTACTAGGGGACTAACTGTCCTTGCATGCATCCCTCAGGATCAGACCATGGAAAACACAGTCTCAAGAGATGGGGTTCAGGAGGGGAGGTGACAAAGGCAGGAAGTCACTGAATACTGTGACTGAAAATGAATGTCTAGGCATGGAAGGGGCGAGATAAAGCCACTGCCCTGTAATGATAACGCCAAACATGGAGCAGCGAAGAGAAGGAATCAAGGAGTGGGGCCAGAGTCAGGAAAGTCGTGATGAAGGCTGTCATTGGTAACTAAGCTAATTCTATTGACAGGCTGATCAGGGGACAGATGTAGAGAAGGACACCCGAGCCACTTGAGAAGGAAGAGATGCTAGATGAAGAGATCAAGAGACAGGCAGGCAGGCTAGGGATGCAGCTCAGTTGGTAGATTGCTTACCTAGCATGTACAAAGAGCAGGTTTCCACCCTTAACACCAGGCCTGGAAGGAGGTGTGGTGACATAGACTATAATCTCAGCACTCGAGAGATGGAGGTTCAGAAGTTCAAGGTCATCCTTGAATACCCAGCAAGCATCATAAGACACCCTCTGCGCAACACACACCTACAAAGTTCTGAAGAGATAGCTCATTAAGTAAAGGGCTTGCTACACAAGCATTAATGCCTGAGTTTGGATACCCAGCACCCACAAAAAGCCAGGCACAGGGACTGGGGAAAAGAGAAAGATCCTTGGGGCTTGCTGGCCAGTCAGTCTGACCAAATTGATGAACTCCAGCTTCAATGAGAGATCCTATCTTAAAATACAAGGTAGACAAAGGTTGAGGAAGACACTCAACAGCAACCTCCACCACCCACACTCATGCAAATATACATGCAACCCACATCCACACACATGCACCATACAAAAGAGGGGAGACAGAGCCATGCAGTGTGGAGAGGGGGATACATGAAGATACATAGAAATACCCCATATGTGGGGGTAGAAACTTGTATCTTTGGCTAAAAAGCAGAGGTTTCTAAGGACAAGAGATTATCTGGGGAAGGGAGCAGCACTTGACAGATCACAGTGTTGAGTATGTATTGAAGACAGGACATCTGTTTGGCACAGATTTCATGGGAAGAATGGGCTGCGGTATGAAGGCCCAGCTTCTGGTAACAGCCAGGCTGTTGGTATGAAACAGGAACCCCAAGTTTAACTTCTCAATAATTCTCCTACCTTCCCAGATCTAGGATGGGGGGCTCAGAAAACCACTGTGGAGGTCTGAGACCAGTCTCAGGAGCCAGTACAGATGGCAGAGTAGAAAGAGTTAGCAAGCCTAGAGAAAGCTAATAGCCACCACACCTTTTACAGGTTTCCCACCTTCTAAATCCTTTACAAATATTGGCTCTTGTAATCCTCACAACTATTATTATCCCCGATGGAAGCGTGAACAAAGCTGTGTGGTTACTAACTGGTAAAACCAGGACTTAAACCCTGAAAGGGGGACTCCAAGGCTTTGCTCCAAACCATCGTGTGTGTAATCTCTCAGAGTGAAGAGGTGGCGAGTTAGGGTCACATCACCATTACGAGAAACCTCTTGACACCCCTATATTTCAGAACTTCACAGCTCTTTCAGAAGCCTGAATGATGGGATTTTATTGTTTGGGCTACTTTTAAAAGATCTTTATTCATCATGTTGGCAACTCGATGTCATGTGTATACCTGAGTGCATGCAACCCATGTGTAGGGGTGGCCAGAAGAGGGTGTCAGATCCCTTGGAATTGAAGTTACAGATGGCTTTGAGCTGCCGTGTGAGTGCTAGAACTAAACCCAGGTCCTCTGCAAGAGCATCAAGTGCTCTTAACCACGGAGCCATCTCTCCAGCCCCTAGAACTTTTTTTTTTTTTTTAACCTCCAGAAATGTGTCTCCTTTTCCTTTCCAGCCATCATTTCAAATGTCTTTCTTTTTATGGGCCATCTTTTCTACTGGCGCCTAATTTCTCCCTGGGTTTTCTGCCACTGGAAGGATGGCAGAAGTGCCATGTATTAACCCACTGGTCTGGAGCCCCCACTTCTCCAAGCTTCTTCTTCAGACCGCATAACTTAGCTCTGACTTCTCACCCACATTCCAAAGACAGCCTCTCCCTTCCCCACCACCTCAAATCCAGGCTTCAGGCTGGCAGACACCCACAGGAGGGTTGCTCCCACAATCCTTTTCTCTTTGTCCTTTCAAGGTTCTGATGGGGGGAAGGGAGGAAAGGGGCCACCCAGGACGTACTCTCTCTATGAAGGATGGTGACAACATGGGCACTAGTCTCTGATGAGGGAAAAAAGCCCTTGGCTTCAGACCGAGGTGATGAGGTGAATGCAAAAACTCCCCATTCTCAGGAGTGGCCTTAGGCAACTGTCCTTCATTCTGTTCTAAGACATTTGGAGTCCAAAACTCCCCTTTCTGGCCAGTCTTCTTGCAGTTGAATCTCAACGGGTTGCCTCATGCTATCCCCTTTCTCTGCCCTTTCCAGGGCCTCACTACTGTCCTGGACAACTTGGCCTCAGTCTGGGCAGTAGCACTGGCCAGTCAGGCAAGAGAAGAATCTAGGCCGGGAGGGAGAGTGGAGTTGCTTTCTTCTTCTTCTTCTTCTTTTTTTTTTTTTTTTTTTTTTTTTTTTTTTTTTTTCCTTTCATCCTAAATAACTTTTTGCAGGAAAATTTAAGGGACTCAAGCATCTTTCCCTCCTCACCAGTGCTTTGTGCCTCAACCACCTGTATTTGCATCTTGTGTGCAGAAACCCAGCCTAGGAGACCCAGAAATCTCCTTTATGGAAATGGGCCCTGCTACTACACAACTCACCCAGCAGAGACTTTAAAAGTCTTACCCCACCAGTCTCAGCTCAAAGGTAAAGGACTGCAATATGAACCCAGGTCTGAACATCCCAGCCTTCCTAGGGGAAAGACAGAGAAGAAGGTCCCTGGGTCTTCTGCCAGCCACTTCCTTCCTATCCCAAGCCAGCAAGGCTGAGCATAAATGAGCTCCTACAGAGTGCAGATGGGAACCATAGAAAAAACTTGGGAAATGCCAGTCTATCCCCACATAAATAGTGCCCCCTCAAAGATGTATGGATACATGTTGGAGAGATATTATCCTCCCCACCCCAGGGTAAGGGAAAACAGTAGGATTCTGTATTAGAGCTACACAAGAAATGGGACCATACCGCTCTCCCCATTACCCCCCAGTCAGTGGAGTCATTGCCATTTGATACCCACTGAGACAACTTGGCTGCTCTGGGCTCTGGATGGGGGGGGGGGGCCTCGGAAAACAGCAGCTCCTTTCAGGACCCAGGTTGGCAAGGGCTTTGGGAGGCTGGCCTGGCCCAGATCACCCCCTAACTCCCCCTTCTTCCCTCCCTCCCTTGCCACCACCACCAAAGGCTGGGCGGGTGGGTGGAGAGATTGGCACTGCCTGGGTCAAGCCTACTGCCTGTTCGGTCTAGCCCTGGACCTCTACCCCCCATGCCCCGGCATGATGCCATCTCTCCCCCTCTTCCCCTTTTCCTCCTTCCTGAAGAACCAGCCATGAGCCAGGACACCTGGTTCCTTCTAGACTTGGTCCCCATACCCAATCGACACCCTGGGGAACTGACAAGCCCTACCCTTTGGCAGAAAATGGAATTGCCATCATTCCAGGAACATATTCAAAACTCCTTGGAGATCAGGGAAAAGTGGCCACAATGAAACTCATTTGAGCTCATGGTAACTGTGGGCTCATGGCGATAGTCTCTCAATGCCTTCCACATAATCCCAAACAGGAGGTTCTCAAATCTTCCTTCACCATCTCCTGCCCTCTCAGACTACATACCACAGGGAGAAAAAATTTCAAACCCCACAGCCACGGCCATCTGGCCAGAAATCTCATCAGAATTTGTATTGATGAGCAACCTAATCAGCTTTTAAGCTTGCCTTCCTTTTGGGTCCAACTCTGTCATTTTTTTTTTTTTTTCTTTATACCCTAACTTCTTGGTCAGCCTCAGCCTCCCCAGGGCACTTCAGTTACTGGAATGAAATCCCAAGATACCAGAAGCCCTACTCCCACTACTTTTTTTTTTCTATTTTTTTCTATTTTGACCTTCTAACCATCTCAGCTCTCCCTAGAATCAGTTCTTTCCTGTTAGCCCCTGTTGGAAGAGGAAATAGGAGAGGGAAATCTCTGGAGGGCGAATTCATAGGCCCCAATCTACCCTCTGACTCCAGAAGAAACAGCCTGCTCCTTCTGAAATTCTCCTTGTGAAGCAATTTGAGGGGTGTCAGTAGGGAGGGGTGTCTTGATGTGGGATCCAAGTTGGAATGGAAGGGAGAGAAAAAGGAAGGAGGGGAGAGGAGGGTCTCCGATGCACCAGGCTGAGTGTGTCTTCTAATCTAATGCTTGTGTATGTGTAAACGGGTGATCAGAACATCGTCAATGGGTGTCACTGTGTGAGTGTCACTGTAAGGGGGAGGGCTGGGAGCAGGAGTAACCTGTCGCTACTGGAAGCAGGAGCAGTGTCTGCATGCTTCTGTGGTGGGTGCAGGCTTGTATGTAGCAGTCATTCTAGTAACCGGACGAGCCTCATGCAACAGCAGGTATGCCAAGTGAGGCGGAGACATCACGGAAGCCCCTTTCTTAGGTGGAAGGCCTGAGGTGACTAGCCTAAGTAAGGTACCCTTGATGAGGAGCCCTTCCCAGGAAAGTTCACTTGGACTGAAGGAGGAAGATCAGGATTGTACTGCTGAGGCCAGCCAACCTTAGTAGAGACCAAAGGGCTGGGGGGGAGGGGGAGCGATGTGTCTAAGTGGACAGGACCCCGGCCAGGGCGGCAGCACTCCTTCATCAGGGTCAAAGTCTTACCTTGGCTCGCAGGTGGAGTAGTTGCACGGATGGACCGCCTGGCAGCTGGACAGATGAACAGACGGGGCGGGCAGGAGTGACGAGCGGAGCTGTGCGACGGGCAGGGCCAAGACTCTTAAACCCCGAGCTCGGATCAGATAAGGGCTTGTCCGGGGGCCGGGGCCGGGGTCGGGCCGGCCGGGGGCAGAGTTGGGCCGGGCCGGGCCGCCCCCTCCCTCTGCAGCGCTGGAGCCAAACTTTGAGTGAATGGAGGGGCCGGGAGGGGGCCGGGACGACGGGGGCGGGGGAGCTCGGGGCCGACCAATGGCAGAGCGGAGCGCCAGGACCGAGCCTGGCTATTGGACATACTTGGGCAAGGGGCGGGGCGTAGGGGGCTAGGAAGCGCAAACCCAGACTGACTAGGGCGCAGAAACACCCAAAGACAGAGAGACCCAGACAGAGTCCCGGAGAAAGAGAGATGAAGAGACGATACGAGAAGCGATAGAAGCCGAGCTGGCAAGATGACAGGGGGAGAGAGAAAGAGGAAAAGCGAGGCGGCGGTGTCAGAATGGAGGAACCAGGGCGAGGGCCGCGGGGGCGGGACTGGGTCCCAGTTAATGAGGTGGAAATGTATTCAGGACTAGGCTGCGACTAGGACGAGACTGGCAGACTTGGCTTGGGCTCCTGGGGCTACAGGGCCCTGGCATCCCATACAATTTCCAGGTTATTCTCTGTTCCCTGTTTAGAGAGTGCGGCGCTGGGTGCAAAAGGCCACCTAAAACCATCGACACCTGCAACAACTTCATCTGGAAGGAAAAATAAGCGGCAGTGTGCAAAGTGCTGGAGCCACCCAAAGCTGTGGAAGAAGAGCAAAAGGTCGCTCTATTTAGGGGGTTCCCCACAAATGTTCGAGGAAAGAGATAAAACATTTACTTAGGGACACACAGGGGCCCATGTCCTAGGAGATGGCAGGGAGGACACTTATGGCAGAGGAACGGCCTAAGTGAAGTCCTGAGGGCACACAGAAGTACATAACGGCTAAGGAAATAGCATCAAACTATTCCTACACACTAGAGTACCCTCACCAAGGGCTGCTCTTTACCTGAACCTGTTTTGAGTGATTTGCATCCACTATCTCATGTATAGCATGCATTAAAGAAGAAAATAGTGACTTCCCATTTTTATTCATAGTAGACACCAAACTACTTTCAATAGCCATTATTACTTACTTACTATGTTAAGATAAATCGGGGTTAAAAGTAGAATAATTATATATTTTAGTTTAGAGTGAATCTCTAAAATTCATTAGATGAATAAATGTGCCTTTTGAGAAGCCCTCCCTCATTTGGGCTGAGGGTGTAGCTGGGTGGTAGAGTGATTACATAGCCCTGGGTTCCATTACCACCACAGAATTTTGATTAAAGAGGAGAAAAATACAACCAGAGCCAAAGCAATGGACCAGGAACTATCTTCCTGCTTGATTTTTTTTTTCTTTCTTGTGTGTGTGTGTGCATGTTTTGTTTTTCATAATTTCTTATATCTTCTGCTCCTGAGCAAATATAGATGAGTGGCTAAAGTAAGATGATCTGAAAACATGGTGGTTAGGCCTGCAATCCCAGCTGCTTGGGAAGCTAAAGCAGAAGGACTGTAAATTCAAAGCCTTCCTGAGCTACAAAGTAAGTTCAAGGCCACCTTGAACAACTGAGCAGGGCCCACAGTCTTGATTTTCAAGACAGGGAGAATTTGGAGGCTGATCTTAGACTACAATATAAAATGGAGAACAAATGCACAGAAGATAAGCCAAAGAACTGTCATGGTTTATGAGATTATTACATGACATTTATCATGAATTTATTATTTTAAAAAAATGTTACCCAAGCATTTGGCATTAATCACCACCATGTGTCCATGACTCTAATCCACCTGGATATATATTTCAAACTTAGTACAACATAGACAGAATCATCTTGCTTGCAGGTGTGCTCCTCTTTATTCCAAACCACGGTGAATATGTCACCACCATTCAACTGGAAACACAGCAGTCGTCCCAGACTCTATTCCTCCTTATACCACTCCATTGTCTAACCAAAGCATCTCCATTCTAAGCCCCTGGACACTCCCCCACTATGTCATTATTGTTGCTGTAGTCTAGAGCAGATGCACCTCTCAGCAGAGCTACTGTAGCAACCATCTAACTGGTTCATTCTACACACTAATAATTATCCTTCAGATCATGAATTCCTTTATGTAAAAACAATTAAGACCAGCAAGATGGCTCAGAGGGTAAAGGTTCTTGCTGCCAAACTTAATGACCTCAGCAATCTCTAGTACTCACATGGTAGAAGGTGAGAAGCAACTACCAAAAGTTGTTCTCTGACTTCCAAGAGTATGTTGTGGCACATCCACAAACACACACACACACACACACACACACACACACACACACACACGGGGTAAGGGGGAGAAATGTAACTTCTTAAAAGAGAATTAAACATCAATAATGTATTTCTCTCCAAAACTCAAATCAGACTCTCCACTTTCCACTTCAAAAACCTTCAACAACTGTACTTGCATATAAATAAAATCCACATTATTTAGCATAGACAGAAGGCTCATTATAACCTGGCCTGACACCATTCTACTCTTGTCTTCCTCTGACACTTCACTTCCAAATCGACAGCCTCGTCCTCCTCTAATACCCATGGTCAGGTCTTGTGTTTTTTCTGTGTCTTGCTCCTTGCCCCTTGCTCACACAGCCTGAGTGTTGTACAAATCTTGAGTTTCCCTGGTCTTCTCAATGGAGCTCCACTTACATTCCAGTACCTGCAAGGGGTTTCCACCCTCACTTGTCAGACCTGACTGAACCCACCCTCTTCCCCCAACCTCCCCATCAATGTTGGGAATACTCACAGCTTCTGTATTTCTGTGGAACTCCTGTCAAGCAGACTGAAAAACTGTCAGAAAGCCTTGGTTTCCATGTTTGCCCTGCTGTGTCCTATTTTGTGGCCACGGATTCAGCCACCAAGTTCTGTTAAGTCTCCCTTGGTTATATCTCTCTAGGATGCAAATTGTCATTTCCATATCTGGAATCATGAAGATTACCACTCACCCAGGATCTGACCCATCCTTCACCTTTGTCTCCAGTCTCAAAGGGAAACATACTGGTTCCATATAAAACCTAGAACTAAAACCTTGGCAAAGTGGGGTGTGGTGGTATACACCTATAATCTCAGCACTCAGGAGGCAGAGGCAGGAGACTTCAAGGGAATTCAAGTCTGGTTTACATAACCAGTTTCAAGCCTGCCATAGCCAAGGCTTTATACCAACACACACACACACACACACACACACACACACACACACAGAGTAAAAGCCCCCCCACCTCTTACTAGTCTAGTCCCCTTCGCTTAAATGTTTTGAAGTGATGGTGGAAACAGAACCAAAGGGCAGGACAGAAAATCAATACCCTAAAGAAGAGAAACTGGGTAAGTTCCTTCCAAATAGGGAGAGAAGAGCAGCCATTTGCCAAAGCCCAGAGTGAGGGTGAGGTGGTGTGGGATGGAACTGGCCAGTTGGAAAGAGTTAGATATTCTAGAAGCACAGGGCTGCAAGGCTGTGTGAAAAGCAACTTCATCAGTACGTCATGTTCTCATGTTAAGAGTGACTTAAATCAGGTTCCCATTCTTAAGCAATCATGCTTTATTACCAGCTATATTCTCTGTATAGACCATGTCAGTTTTTAATATTTAACCTTTTGCCAAAGAGAAGTCCTGGAATACACCGCAACCACAACAGCACCATGGATGCTTAGCAAATTAATGTTTCTGAGTGATAAATTTGATTTTGCTCTTTTTGTTTCCATTTGTTCTGTTTGAAACAGGATCTTACTATATAGCCCAGGCTGACCTGGAACTTGACATGCTCCTGCCTCGGCTTCCTAAATGGTGGGATTATAGATGTGTACCACCGCTCCTAACTGTGTATGATAGGTCACAAGATGGGAAAGTCCAGAGCCAAAAGACATTAGGTGTTTGCTCTATAAACAGTAATATGCCCAGCTAGTGTTAATTCTGGCATTTAAATCTACCTGTTTGACCCCAAAGTTTGTCAGTGGGTAATAGAAAAGAGAGAGACCTTGCTTGATTTAAACACAATCTCATTTTCCCAAGTAGAGATTATGGTTCTTGGCAAAATGTCAGTATACCAAAACAAACAAACAAAAAAACAAATAAAAAATAAATCTGCCAGGGTATGGTGTTCAATGGTGTCCATGCAAGAGGAGAGGGGAACCCTTTTCCTGAGGAACTCCTTTTCTCTTGTGTCTTCCCCATTTTGATTCATTGCAACGTTCAGATTTAACCCTCTCATCACTGGCCCCCTTTCTTCTTTCACCTCATTCAAAATTAGTTCAGTCCCCCTCAGCCCAAAAGAGGATCATGGAGTGAAGACCCTTTGCAGAAGGAGAAGCCACGAGTGGGCATGGGGCAAAGGACTTTTTTTGCTGGGAAGAACAGGTGAGGATGCAGGGAAGCAAGGAAGTTTGCACTGAGAGGCAAGGCTGATCCTCGGAGCAAGCAGCACTTGACTAGTCATCAGAAGTGGTTAGAAGGAATGAGACATGAAGTCCCCTAGACTCCGAGGAACATGTTTGTGCTTAGGTCCCACAATATTAACAAGTTCCACTAAAAGTAGAGCAACTCGTGGCAGGATGATGGGTCACAGAAGAGAGCATGTTTAGGTAAATGCATATAATATATGCAAGCCCATGTTTATAAGACTTAAGTTATAAATGACTAATTACAGTACAGAAGAGCTACGGAAGGCAGAGAGGGAAGATGGGAGGGAGGAATATGTTCTTTAACTATCAGGCTTATTTAGGACCTCTGAAACTGGTTCCACTGATGAAAATTCTGTTAACACCCAATACACTGTGGAGAGGTAAGAAACAGGAAATCGGGAACCCCTGCTTCTTCTCTTGAGACCTTGTTTTCCTCTACAAAGTGAGAGCTGCCCCTGGACCACCTCTAACTGCTGGTGTGTAAGTTCTAGTCTGTCTCTAGCCAACCCAGTAGACTGGCAGACAAAACAGACCAATGTGTGATTTGCCTAGGGCCAAATCCACCTTTACTTATTTATTTAGAGGTGAGGTCTCACTATGTCGCTCTGGCTGAACTGGAGCTCACTATACAGACCAGGGTGGCCTCAAACTCACAGGGATCCACCTGCCAACACTTCTCCAATGCTGGGGTTAA